AAGTTACGCCACCGTTAGCGGATGGATTGTAGATGCTTGGACTAACGTGTCTGCTGGCACTGCTGTTCGAGCTTTCGCAAAAGCCGGCATCATTTCCGAGTAGCCGCACGGCACGGAAAGTGACTCTGACAGCGAAGAAGGGGAAATTAGCATGTCTGATTTAGCGCAGCTGTTAAATTCAGAAACAGAGGATGATGATTTCAATGGGTTTTATTAATACTTTGTAATAAATACATGAATAAAGCACAATTATACTCACTTTTGCTCCCGCTCTATTTTTAAATACGCAGTAGAGGTATTTAAAGTAGTAGAGGACATGTACCGGTAAATTAAACCCGCGCCCTGTAATCCAGTGCGCCTTATGTGTGTGTTAAATACAGTAATGGCACACATAACTGAAACTGCGCCTTTTAGTACGGCCTTATGGTTGTGAAAATACGGTATTTTGGATTCTCCTCTGGATTCAGCTGAACTCGTTGCTCCTCTAGACATTCATTCTTTCGCCGTCTAATCTTCCGTTTTCTCTGCAGCAATACTTCCACGCCGGAGGGAACGGACTGAAGAAGGCCTTCCTGGAGAAGAGCGCCGAGCTTTCCTCTCTCCGCCACGCTCTGTCTCTCTACACCCAGACCACTGACACCCTCATCAAAACCTTTGTGACCACGCAGCATTCACAAGGTAGCCTCCAACGCCGCCTTACAGCAGAACACATGCGCTCCTGTTTCCAGTTTCCTCCTTTCTATTCCGTTGTTCCTCAACGTTCTGGAGCAGCGCTGCAGGTTGTTTACATGCTGTTGCTGTCTTGTTTTTGTCTCCTGTGCTGCCTCTGTGCCAGTGCACAATGGGAAGGGTATTAGGCTAACTCCTAATGAGAAAACGCAGCCCAACAGGGGTAGGTCTCCATCAAATCAATGTCAGTCCACCTCTCCCTCATCGTTTTGACTTCCTTTGAACATTTGGTTTCTGTTTGGTGAAACTATTGTCGGTGAACCTCCCCCACCTCCCCGTATTGGTGTCGCATGCCTCTGTATGATGACTGTTTTTATCTGGGTCCATATATCTGTTGCTGTTTTTTAATCCAGGCTCAGGCGTGGATAAACCCATCGGGGAGGTGTCCCTGCAGATTGAGCTCTACACCCATCCAAAGAGTGGAGAGCGGAAAGTTACACTGAAAGGTCAGCTAGAAAGTTTTCTTCTCTTAATAATTAAAAATAAAAGAAAAAAAGCGTGTTTTTTCTGTTTTATTTTTTAATATTTGTTTTGTTTCGTACTCTCGCAGTCATAGGAGCCAGCGATTTGAAGTGGCAGACGTCCGGTATGTTCAGACCGTTCGTGGAAGTCACCATGATCGGGCCTCATCTCAGCGACAAGAAACGCAAATTTCAGACCAAATCCAAGAACAACAGCTGGTCTCCCAAATACAACGAAACCTTCCACTTGTAAGTTTAAAACCAAACATGTTTTTATCTTCGTCTACAGCGACTCTCAGAC